CTCCCCCCCCCCCAACCTGGGCCCTGGCGCAGGAGGCTGAGCTGGTGAGGGCCCCGTTGCCCCAAGACCAGGGGTCAGGGCCCATCTCCTCCCCTACACCCTCAGTGAGACTCCACAAGCAAAGCCCAGAACACAGAAAAGAACAAGATTACAAGTTTTAGATTTCATAGTTCACCACAATCAAAGCCTAATTTGAAAACCTTTTGAAAGTACCCCTCTGAGGATATGAACCCCAAATCAGAATTTCTACAAAGGCAACAAGATTGTGCTCATTACCACATTTTCTTCCCCAAGTGTCTAATCCGGTTCCTGACCGGGGCCTCCCACTCCCACGGCTGGCCTGGAAGGAGGGCTCCGGGCCCGGGCACTTGCTATCAAAGGCCCATTAGACATTTTCAAGGACACGACATGTATGGAATGCAGCGAGGAGGAACTTCAAATCCCCTTTCTGTGACTAGCAGGGCAGGGCCTGAGGGAGCGGAGGGCATCATTCCCTGAAGAGGCCAGAAAGAGCAGTGAGGTCTCGGGCTGCTGGGGACAGCCCACGGCTCCCCTGTGCTCACTGGCCAAATGGATCACAAGATGCAAGAATGTCTGAGTTCTTTTATTTATTTTTTTGCCAGTCCTGGGGCTTGAGCTGGGCCTGGGCGCTGTCCCCGAGCTGCTTTTGCTCAAGGCTAGCTACCACTTGAGCCACAGCGCCACTTCTGGCTTTTTCTGTGTGTGTGGTACTGAGGAATTGAACCCAGGGCTTCATGAGTGCTGGGCAAGCACTCCACTACTGAGTTCCATCGCCCAATCCTGTTTGTATCTTTTACAGGAGGTGTTTTCCTATCTCCGTTCTTGTCTATTTCCCATTTTTCTATTACAATTACTCAGTGTGTGTGTATGTGTTTGTGTTTATTTATTTTACATTGGTGCTGTTCCTGGGGTTGAACTCCATTCAGGACTGGGTGCTGCCCCTGAGATTTTTGTTTGTTTTGCTCAAGGCTAGCATTCTACCACCTGAGCTATAGCTTCACTTCCAGCTTTTTTGTGGTTAATTGAAAATAAGAATCTTAGAGACTTCCTGTTTGGGCTGGCTTCAAGCCACACCCTCAGATCACAGCCTCAGATCACAGCCTCCTGAGTAGCTAGGATTGCAGGCAGTTTCATGGCTTTGTGCTTCATGATCTTGTATTCTTTACACAAGACCCCCCAATCCAGGATGGCTGCAGGCCAGTCCCAAACCCTCTCCTTGGTCCTCCTGCAGGAATTGTCTGCCTCCAGCTCCTTACCTGGTGGGTCCTCGGTCCTGGGAGGCTCAGCTGAGAGCACACTACGTCTCTGACAGATCTTCTCTGCCTGCCAGCTTAAAGTGGTCTGCCCCCTCCTCCTACAGCACCACTGGGGTCCTCAGCACGTGTGCGTGGTGCTGTTACTTGCCCCCTGCCCCTAGGAGGGGCAGCAGGAAGGAAGGGCGTGTCTGCCACTGCAGACCCCGCGCTGGGCAGAGGGCAGGTAGTCAAGGTCTGTCGAGCGAATGGAAGAATGGCCGAAACTCTAGATGAAGCCCTCAGCTCTCACCTGGATAGTTACTAGAGCCTTCTCACTGGTCTTGCTACCTTCATTCTCTCTTCCTTCACTCCAATCCACCTTCCACAAGTGCTGACAAGAGTTCTAAAAAAACACATTTGATCCTGTCACTCCCTTGATTCAAACCCCACAGGTTCCCCACAGCCTCCAGTGTCAGACCTATGTGTCGCAGCATGGTTTTAGAGTATGGTTCCAATTCATCTTTCTAGCTAGCTATGGCTCCCGCCACGCCACGCCACGCCACGCCACGCCACGCCACGCCCTGGGGCTTAGCTGTGCTCCTCTGACGTCTCGTCATAAGGCCAAGTTATTTTCTCCAGCTTCATTATTACTGGCTGCTGTTTATTCTGCCACTGAGACAGGGTCTTACTATGCAGCCTAAGCTGGCCTCAAACTCATGGTCCTCCTTGACTCAGTCTCCCAAGTGCTGGAATTAGCAGCATGTGTCACCATGCCCAGCCTGTCTTCTCTAGCTTTAATGGTGTTCTTTACTTTCCCCTACCCTTTTTTTTTTTTAATTTGTTATTATGATGTACAAAGGAATTACAGTTACATAGGTGGATAAAGAGTACATTTCTTTCTGGACAATGTCACCTCTTCCCTCCTTCTACTCTTCTAAGAACTTTCAAGACCTAGATTAAATGACATCTTCTGAAAAGTATTTCTTTTTTTTTTTTTTGGGTCCGGTCGTGGGGCCTGAACTCTGGGTCTGGGCACTGTCCCTCAGCTCTTCAACTCAAGGCTAGCGCTCTACCACTTGAGCCACAGCGCCACTTCCGGCTTTTTTCTTTTTGCTTATGTGGTGCTGAGGAATCGAACCCAGGGCCTCATGCATGCAAGGCAAGAGCTCTACCACTGAGCCACCTTCCTAGCCCTGAAAAGTATTTCTTAAACTCTGTCCCAATAAGATCTTTCTACAGTCACAATGGCTTCAAACTAGTGAACCCTGCCTTAAGTCTGCTGAGCAGCTGAAATTACAGGTATAAGCCACTTTGCCTAGCCAAATTTAACCTTTTTGTAATTAGCAAATGTTAATTGTACAAGGGATGGCTTCTACTATGATATTTCTACATATATAAACAGTGTATCCTGGTCAAGCTGACCTCTTAACTTGACTTTGAAGAAAATGTTGTATTTGATCCATACTCAAGAATATGTAACATACATCCTCACACATACCCCGCTGGTGCACTGTCACTGTAGCACAAACCCCACTAACCTACCGGTCCGCCTTCACTGAACCATGAGCTCTGGTGGGGTTTACAGACCAAAACAAGAAAATGTGAGGAACTAATTTTTAGTCCAACTCTACCATATTACCTCTCTCAGCTGGCTATCTGGACAACATGCTTCTCTTTGCCTACTTTTACCTGCTCACCCTCACCTTTGCGATTACGAGTCATTGCAACCTCTGCACATACATACACCAGTGAGGGCACGCGCGGCAGGACCTCTTCCAGGGCCATCCCGACGCTCTGGAAACACACTTCCTGTACCCGTTGCTCTTAGACGGTCTGACCAAACTGACCACCCCAGGCTTGCTTTACTGTGAAGGCACTTGCTTTCAGCCTCCAGCTCTAAATGTCAACCTGGCATTAAACCACACTGTCCTAGCTGAAGAGCCGTTTTTCTCTTGTTCTTTTTGATGCCAGTCCTGAGGCTTGCACTCAGGGCTTGGGTGCTGTCTCTAACATTTTTTTTGGCCAAGGACAGTGTTCTACCACTTGAGCCACAGCTCCACTTCCAGACTTTTGGTGGTTAACTGGGGGTAAGAGCCTCACAGACTTTCCTGCCCAAGCTGGCTTTGAACTGCGATCCTCATCTCAGCCTCCTGAGGAGTTAGGATTACAGGCACCGACTGCCCTTTTTCAAATGTAGTAAGACGGTTCTCAAGAACTGACACTGGCCGTGAAGAGTAAGGCGCTGCTGTCTGGTGCGGCTCTGGCCTAGATGACGCTGTGTCCCTGCTCTCAGGACCATGTGGATTCTGACTCTTCTCTTCCCCCAGCATGACACACAAACATTTCTTGTTCTCTAAGTGGCATTCTGTGCCATCCTCATCCAGAACTGCCTCCAGATTTTGTTTACCAACAGCCCTGCATGTAATTCAATCCTTTCCCATCCGTTACACTCTTGTCTTCCCAAACATAAACACAAACCCATAAGAACTCGAACTCCACAATTTCTGTAGACAGCGGAGGTGACTCCATGCCCAATCTCACACTGAAAAAAAATCACCCAGCTACTTGGAAATCACTTCCTCAGGTGACATTAATAACACACATGGGTAAATACAGCACTTCTGTTTAAAGTTTTTAAGGAAATTTAAGTGGGTTGAATATTCGCTCTACAGTTTGTAATCCAGACAGCAAGTCTACTTCCGGATGGCCCAGACCAGATGGGAGACGGCACAGCGAGATGTCGCCACACCTCCTGGCAGGGACACACGGAGACCCCTCGATAGGTGTGGGGCGTGCACGATCTTAACTGTGATTATCAAGTTGGGGAATGGGGAATGTTCTTCCCCAGACAAAATTATTTCCTAAGGACCAGAATCTATACCATATTTCTGTTCGAAGTTGATGATGTTAAAATCCATGCAAACCCTATGTTCTTCCTGACCAGGGTGGGGGTGGGAGTCATCCCCACGCAACCTGACCCCTGCATGAGAATCAAGTTTCTATCTCAACAAGTCTGCTTCATCTTTACCATTTGCAAGGCAAGTCATGCTAAAACACAAAGAACCCAAATATGTGTGGCAGTACCTGGAGCTAAAAGCAACTCCAAGGACTTGAACAAACACAATCTATTTGGCAACTTCTGTCTGCTACATTTAACAGGCTGCTGTGTTCCTGAACAGATAGCTCAGGCTCCTTCCAGAATGAAACTGAACACATACTAGAAACCCCAGTGCATACTATAACGCTGGCAAAAGCTGTGTCATGTGACCCAATTTTAAGTGCCAGAATTCCTACATCAAAAATGATGTTACAGCAAGTATTTCCAAAAGCAATAGAGCTACCCCTTGGACAAATACCTGCCAAACATACATACAAAAACTCTTGCTGTAATTTGAACAGCCTAAAGCAATGTCACCAAGTTATTCAATCTTCATGAAAATTTCCAGGGCATATGAACAGAGTTAAAATTCTACAGTTTCTTCTTTAAAGTATACACATATATCAACAGAGTCATGCTCACCTCCATGATAGAGGAAATAACTTGTTACAGATAACTGTGCACGCTCTGTACAAACACACAAATTACCCAAAGAGGAACAGGTTAAGGCCAACAAATGAACCCACCACATTTAAACGAGTAATACTAGGTAAGACGACTGCGCAAATAAAAACAGGCTTAGCTCAGAGTGCAAAATAAGGCCCACTGCCCTTTGGTAAGAACCACTAAGACAGGGTGCTACTTACTTCCTCATTAAATAGTTTGCTAGTTTCTTTTTTGATTGGGTCTATAAGCTGGACTTGGCCTGCGGAAAAGCCCACTAGGAGAGAGACACTTTCTGCTGTGGCTGTGAGGTGGTTGAAGTCATGACAAGTAGGCTGTGTTCCTTTGTATATCCTTTTATCTATTGGTTTACTCAAGTCAGCAGCCTGGAGGAGAAAGAGAAAAATACATACAGTAAACAGCACATTGAGATGAGAAATCTAAGTTACACTCTTTTATACTGTCATGAAGTTCACTTTCAAAAACAAAATTATTCAACATATTCTTTCAATCGTGACATTTTATAAAAGCAGTTTCACATACCTTGGCCAACTAGACATGGTTACACTAGCTATAATATGTGTATTTATAGCTGATTTCCACCACTTACTCTCCTTCAAACGTATGTAACAAGGACTCCTGGACTTTGGGAGGAAAAATACTTTTGAGATACTAAATTCAGTATTTTCAAATGCATTCCAGTAAGTTTTTAACAGAGTTAAGTCTGATCAACACATAAATGCTCAGGCTCTCAGAGCCATCTGTGGCACATAAATTTCACTGGTAAGTTATCTGTAGCCTAGTGGTTCTTAGAGTGTGAATCCTAGGCCATCACCAGCAATACTAGGAAACTCAGAAATGCACTTCTCAAGACCCAACCCAGATCCATTGAGTCAGAACCACGGGGTAGGACAGATAAGCCACAGTTTAAAAAGCTGCTGCTGGGGGGGGGGGGGCGCTGGGAAAGGGAAGCACAGGCCTTT